CTCCCTGCTCGGCGGGGAGCCTGCTGCAGCTCTCCCTGCTTGTGTGCGCTCTCTCACTGACAAAATCTTTAAAAAAAAAAAAAAGGACAAAATACTGATCTACATGGAGAAGGTAGTGGTCAGGCAAATCAGCTTGTGCAATCATAACTGAAACCCTGAGGGACAAGAATGCAATCCTCATAGCTTGCACAAGAGTGATGCAATGTGGCATAATTAATTTGGGGAAGAGAAATTCCTATCTAGTTCATCCAAGAGCACTCCAATCCAATATAAACTTCCAGCAAAGCTCTTCTTCCAAGTGTCAATCTATCAGGTGATGATCAGAGATGAACTTCTATCACCTGAGATAAGACGCTGCCACAACTGGACCGTGAAGAAATGAGCCCCTGGCCGGACTGCCCAGGGTCCAGTCAGGTGAACAGGTCCAGACAGAGGTCAAGAGTCCTAGTCCCAGCCCAGGTGCTGCAGAGGAGTCAATTCAGTCAGCTAGAAGCCGGCATGGGCTCTACCCCATGCCTGCTAACAGGCTGGGTGGTCTCAGCATACTTGCAGAAGGCAATAATTTGCTAAAAAAAAAAAGATCTCAGCCAAACCCCACTAATACAGAAGTTCAGGGCTCTGGGCCTGTCCCACAGGATCATTAACTAAAAAGTTTCAGATACATGCAAATGTGTCAACTATATATGTTACTTTTGACTCACTTTAGTCAATAATAGGAATACAGCCCTTCATTTGAAATACCAAAATCTAAACTTCAGACCATGCCCATAGATTTGGCCAGGATATTAGGAGGCTCCAGCATTCTGATTCCATTGCTCTCACCTCAGAGGGCTGCTGTAAGGATTAAATCAATGTGAAGCAAAAAGCACTCAGAACAGTACTGGATACACAATAATTAAGTGGTAATTATGATGCCTGTAGCTCCTGCAAAGCAGCTATTACCAGTGCTTCTCAAAGTGTGGTCCAGAGAACCCTGAAGGTCCCAGAGATTCCTTCAGGGCGTCTAGGAGGTCAAACTTCTCCTAATAGTAATACCAAGGCGCTAGCTGCCTTTCTCACTCGCTCACTGCCACATGCGCAGTGGAGTTTTTCCGGAGGCGTATGGCACGTGGCACAGCAGCGCACCGCATGCAGATGCAGCAGGGACTCTACCAGGTGTTAGAAAAACTGCAAAAATCTCAAAGAAGCCATTCTTCTCATTTAATATGTCTGTGTTTAAGGAAAGTTATTTTTCACTAAAATTATGTTAACATGTTTACCATTTCTAAAAGATTATTTTTTAAAATTGTCAGCTTAATTGGTAAGAGGTAAATATCGATAGCTAGGGCCCACATAAACAAAAGCTCTTTGGGGTCCCTCAACTCCCAACTATATAGGGATGCAGAGACTAGAAAGCTTTAGAGCCACCATTTACAAACAGCCAACTTCTGGAACCCAACGAAAGGAAAATAACTTCTCAAATTATAGCTGGTTCCCTTTTCAGATTTACCACAAATCACAGCCACCAGAATAAGTTCTGTTAGGCTCCTACATCTCTACCGCCTACAAAAGAACCCTCTCCAACAGATCTGCAGGTCCCTCTAATCTGGATGTAAACTATTACAACGGTCAACACTTCACCTGACCTCAAAGTCACTGATTTGTCAACTCCAAGACACAAACTCTTAAAACGACTTTCAGTAAATAAAAGAAAATGCTTTTTTTATTCGTGATAAAGACTTGGCACTAATCCACACTGAAGTTTCAGGCCCAGTAACCTTGCTGGGCTGAAGTCCACACCTCACACCACCGTTTAGCAACACTGAGCGCCTATTAGGGGCCGAGCAGAGTCACACACGCTGCAGACAGACCAACTGCAAATATACATAGCACAGAATGCCAGGCAGTGGTGAGGGCCATGAAGGCAAATGAAGCAAAGTCAAAGGAAGAACAAGACTAGGGCAGGATGGCATGGCCATTTAGACAGAGCAGTGGGGAATTCTGATAAGGCAACAACTGACCAGACAACTGAGTGGGGGGAGGAATCCACAGGGATCATCTCAAGAGGAAAATGTTCCAGAGAGGTGGAACACAAAATACAAAGGTTCTGAGCAAACAACAGGGTGCCAGAGGCTGGACATGGGAGGAAGAGGGAGAAGAACTCTGAAAGACAGCCAAAAGCCGGATAACATGCAACCCCACAAGACAAACCTTGGGTTTTAATCCTCATGAGATAGGAGGCCCTCTGGTATCAATGTCTACACTTGTAGGACAGCAACCCATCACCACTGGTAAAGGAGTTTTTCTTTTTCTATTGTAGTAAGTGTCATCACAAAGTCTGGCCAAAAACACTTTCTATGGTATCTCCTTCAACCTAATTTATGAAGTTTCCCTTAAATAATTTCTTTTCAAAAGCAGTTATCTGTCCAAATATGGCCAGGATTCAATTTTAAAATTTAGAAGTGTCATTAGGATTCATTTCAGTTTTTCTGAAAAAGAGATGTTCAATGAGGCTAACTAAATTGACACATGCATACAATGAAATCCTCTGCCAACTGTTTTTTCAACAGCTGGGAGGTAGGAGGAGATTAAGACAGACAGCTAAATGCAATGTGGTACTCGACTGGATACTGGAACAGAAAGATGAGATCAGTGGGAACACTGGTAAAGGCCCCATCAAGTCTGCAGCACAGTTAACACTGTCCCGATGTTCACTCCTTAATTTTTGGCAAATATACAGTAGATATATAAGATGTTAACAGTACAGGAAGCTGGGTGAAGTATACAGGAACTCACCACACTATCTTTTTAATTTTTCTGTAAATCTAAAATTATTCCAAAATTTAAAACATAGGTCTATCCATACTAGCATGAAATGGCCTCTAAGGCATAAATAAAAGAATAATGCAAACCTATTCACTCTTCTATAAAATTGGCAAAGTATTTAAGTCTGACAACATCAAAGGTTATTGATTAACTATATACCTGTATATCATAGGACTACAAAACCCCAAAACATTTGAGACAGGAATTTGGCAATTCCTAAAGTAAAATATGCATTCTCTACAGCTCAGCAATTCCATTCCTAGGTATATCCCCTATAGAAATGTCTGTTCATGTGCACAAGAACATTTATAGAAGCAGTTTAAGAGAAAAACAAAACTAGAAATAATCTAAATGCCTAGCAACAAAGTATGACATAAATGAAATACATTACATTCATGTTTTCAGAATAAAACTGATTATTGATTGAAAATTAAGAAACGGGATTTATCCAAAACTCCTGTTGGGTGAGAAATGAAGTTCTACTGATATTCAGCAGGTTGCACCATAAATCCATGTATTGAATCATCATAAAAATAAGCTACCAAATGAATATATATGTATATATAATACATTCTAGCATCCCCAGAGAGCCTACCTGCCTCAGTGTTGGGCACACACCAACAGTCACTATGCACCTTCACTAACTCAGTATCACTAGAAATTCATAACCTTGGGATAATCCCCAAGGCCGGGCAGCAAGACTAGAACAAGGCCTGTAACTGTAACACACTCCCATTTACTCAAATGTTCAGGGAAGGGAAGAGTCTCTTGGTTAACCAAATATTCTGATTAACCGTATTCCCAAGTACACCAACGGAGGATTTTACATTTCAAAAGAAACAAGTCCCCTTCCAGTGATTTGAGTGATTCAGAATTCCTAAGGGTCTTGTGAGGAGTGACTCACTGCCAATAAGGACAACTGTTTGATACAGAACAAAAAATGGTTCTCAACCAGTGCAGAAAATTTAGAGACTAGTATTAGTTTATTCTACAGACCATGGAATAGCAAGTATTATCGACCCCAGTGAGAAATCTTTTCTTCACTATGAAATCGAAAATCTTTATAAGCAGAGCACCTTTCACAGCATACAAGTAAAACAAGTTTAAGAGCGTGGTTTAAGGTCAAGACACATTCTTGGGAGGTGCTCTAACATGAGAAAAACATCGTAAATCTATTTCATCTGTAAGTAGCCTATATCTTTGGTTTTCCATCAACTCCACCATCCACTTTATTACTATTTATCAAAATCTGAATAGCTGCACGATAGAATGGAAGCTAGCCCCTAATTACAGTTAGAGAAACAGAAATTGAGGTTGGTCCTAACGATCAGGTTTACTTCCTTTCCGTAAGCTATAATACCTGAAAATAACCCAGACTTAGGATCCTCTCCGTATAGAAATTAAAATCTGCCTTCACTATAAAACGATGTAAGTTTGATAAGTACTCAACCACACTCACTTTCCTTTACCATGATGATTTAAAAGAGGTTAAGATCTGAAGGCATGAATTTGGGGCACATTAACTGAGAAAGGTCAGAGTAACACGGGGAGGACAGGAGGGATCCTTCTAATACCAGGAAGGCAATGCAGCTGGTTCCCAAGTGTTGCCTTCATAGCCTGCAACGATTTTAATAACCATCAGTACTATTTCAGGGCAACAAACAAGTGTAAGGATACTCCTATGCACAGCTTCTCACGTACTTCTGTTTTGTGCTTCCTGCAACTTCAACATTCTTAAAAACTAGGGCAACTGAGGCCAAGGGCCAAAGTGTGTCCCGCTGGATGGGGCTCCAGTCCATCTCGATCACGTGCGCCCGGCCCAAGCACAACACCGGTGCAGGAGGGGTCACCCTACAGGCCCACCCCCAGAGCTGTGGGGAGGCCCCGGGCGGCACCAACTCGAACCCTGAGGGAGATGCTACTTCTCCAGTCCCGCCCTCCTAGCCCACTCGCCCCGACCCCAGCCCTGAGCCGCCGACCCGGGGGACTTCTAGGCGGCCAGTCTCCCACCCTCCTCCCTCAGTCCCTCCCCGCCGCCCCACCGGTAGCTGCGCAGCGCGCGCCTGCGCACTGAGCGCCCCTCGTCAACCCCAACGGGGAGCGGAGGGGCGAGGCCCGGGACGGTCCGCTCCGGGTCGGGTGGGCTGCGTTCTGCGGGGAATCCCTCCCCCAGACTGGAGGGTCTCAGGGCTTACCCGCGCCCAGAAGGCTGGCCAGGAGAAAGAGAGCGTACATCGCGACGCCCGACTCCGCAGTCTGCAATGCAGAGCGTCAGCTGATCCTCTGCGGCTATAAACCTGCCCCGCCCCGAAGCTGTGCACTGCGCAGGCGCAAGCCCCGCCCCGGCCAGGCCTGCCTGAGCTCCCCGCAGCCTGACTCAGCGCCGCGCAGGGCGCCTGCGCAACTGAAGGCGGAGAGGAGGGAGGAGGATGCGCCGGGGTGGGGCTGGGAAATGTGTGGTGCAAGGGGAGAATTCATCCCAAAAAAGAAAACTAGTAATTAAATAAGTCAACGTTAAAATGTATAAATATGTATAAATGTCTTTTAAGCTTCACATTTTTTTCTATGAGGTACCATTTTCTGTTATTATAGAAATTATATAGAAATAATATTTTAGGGGCGCCTGGGTGGCTCAGTCGTTAAGCGTTTGCCTTCCGCTCAGGTCGTGATCCCAGGGTCCTGGGTTCGAGCCCCACATCAGGCTCCCTGCTCGGTGGGAAGCCCGCTTCTCCCTCTCCTGCTCCCCCTGCTTGTGTTCCCTCTCTCGTTGTGTCTCTCTCCTTCTGTCAAATAAATAAATAAAATCTTTAAAAAAAAAAGAAAAAAATAATATTGTATGATTATTTCTATTCCATTTTTCAGGTGAGAATCCAAACTAAGAAAGGTTAACGATTTTATCTTAAGTTCTCAAGGTGATTACTCAAGCTCACCACCCTGCCCACGCGGTCTCCTAAATGATGTTTATATAGTTACCTAGCTCAGGCCAGCGTGTAGCTTCACTCTGGGCCCTGATTTTCCCTGTTAACATTTCATATCCACAATCACTTCTCCTCATGACCCACAGACAAGTTTTCAGTATTAAATACAGCCCCTCCCGAGGTCCTAACCATGGTTTGTCCTGGGGTTGGACAAAGTGGAGGGTAAGATGGGGAAGAGTAAATGGCTCTGCCATTGGAGAAGTGAAGCTGGAATTTGAGAACCTGGCTGTGCGCCAGCCAGAGGCCTTGCTGGAGAAGGAAGTAGCCCCACACTGTGCAGCCCTCAACCCTCATCTCCTTCCAGAATAAGAAAGGCCCAGGTGGCCCACACAAAACCCACCTGCCCTCTACCTGTGGCTGACCCAGTCTGACTCTGAGCAGAAGTCTGACACCACCCCTGCCCCTTCTCAAGGGCAAGTACCTCCTAGCCCAAGGGAAGGATAGGAGGGAAATCTCAGCCTATTAGGGCAGGTCCTTAAAGGTCAGTTAGTCCCATTCCATCATTATACCAAAGGGGAAGTTGGGACCAGGAGAGGGAAAGACATTTATCCAAGGGCACGCCTGACCAGAGAGGGGCAAACCCAGGGTTCCATCTGCCTCCAACCATGTGTACTCCTCCTTTAGGAAGTGGAACCGGCCACAGACAGGTGTCACGGCCTTTGGTTTGCCTCTTCTACCACTATCCCCACACTGGTTCTTAACTTCCCACTGGGGAGCTGACAGGGAAGTGTGCACCACAGTGGGCGACACAAGAGGGCTGAGTAAAGTTGGGACAAGATATGATCTAAACTGGGTGCCTCGCTTGTTGGCCTCAGTGGCCAGATGGCTGCATGGCTGCCCCAGCTGCAGGCATTCCAGGTCCAGGCATACACACAGGCCAATCACCCCAACAGCCAGATAAAGGCAGGGAAGGTGGGGCTCTAGGACACAGCCCTATCTCTCAGCTCCAGCAAGGCATCCCTGTGTACTATACAGAAATGACAAGACTCCATGCCAAAAGGTAGCTTAGAGATCTTCTGATCATATGCTCTTGCTTTGGTGGAGTTACTGAGCTCTCAGAGCTGTTTAATGACGGAGTGAGGCAACCACAACTCTTTTTTAATACCCCCCCTTTCTCATAACCAGAGGGATAAGTCAATGTTCTTGAGATGCACTTTTGCTACCTTCGTTTGCATACCTGGAACACAAAAAAAATATGATCCTGCATCCATCTCCCTCCCTGTAAGGACAGAATTGTAATGAAGAATATAAAAAACAGTAAGTGGGTTATTGTCATTTTTTTACCAAGTCAGTAGATGCTTAAATCTCTTAAAATACCTTCTTAGCCATCTGTGTGCATAGGCAACAAAGAGCTATGAGACTATTTGGACCCTTTGACCCTATAATACCATTCTAGCTATATAACCCCCCCAGGGAAATAATCCAGAGCTTAGAAATATTCTATCCAAAGTGGTTACGGAAGGACCCTTTATAACAGCAGATACTGGAAAGATCCCAAATGCCAAACAATGATGGCTAACTAAGGAAACTGGCCTGGACAAAACACTGATACGAGAAGTGCCTTTGAAACATGACAGAAGGAGAAAGCGCTGGTATGCAACAGGCCTCGGGAGGTAGGTGGGTTAAACACCGGCAGAGCAAGGCCCAAGCCCCACTGTCCACTTCAAGCCCTGCCACTGGGTTCCCAGAGGGGAATGCGGAGCTGGTGAGGGAGCTTCAGGATCCCCCGGTCCAGGTGTGCACAGGGGCAGCGAAGCCCCCCTGTCCTGTGTCTCTTCGAAGTGGTGGGACTTTTGGTGAGGAGAGGAACAGAGAATTGGAGGTGGGAAGAGAGCCTGCTGACTTGGGTTAACTCATCTTTGCACTATTTCACTCATTACAATGTCCATGTGTTACTTAATACTTTTTAAAGAAAAAGATTATGGGAAAATTTTAAAGAACAAAGAAAATCCCCTTCACTTCCTCCCTCCTGTGGGCTCAAGTTTTCAGGAAACTGAAAAGATCTTTATCCTCAGAAATGTGAGCCGTACTGGAAATTCCAGCAGCAATCCCGATAGTTTTTCCAGTTCTGGGTCCCAATTCCTCACGAGGCCCCACTTCTAGTGCCTGAGATCTCTTGAGACCCCCACCTGCCAGATCCACTTGGATTCCACTTTTGGTGCCAGAGGGTTTCCCTCTGTTACTGTTTCTCCACCTGAAAGGGTCCATGGCCAAAACAGCTGATTTAACAGAGGCATCCACCGTGAAGGCCCAGCTCACCCACTTGGCTCCCCAAACAGCCACCCTGGAACCTCATCCTGCCTTGGAAGCCTCTCGCACCACCACCTCTGTGTCTCAAACAAAGTCAGGCTTCTCTCCCTCCAGCATCTCCCTCATCAAGACCTCCAGCCTTCAGTTTCCCCTGGGCCCTTCAGGCAGACACTCAAATATCAGCCCTTCCCAAGGACCCCTCTCCCCCTCACACTTCAGTCACCCACCCACCAATTCCCAGCCTTTGATTTCTTCTCTTCGATCCCCACCTGAGATATCAGCTGGAGAATCAACCATCCCAGCTAGGCTCACAAAGCCCTCTGTGCTACTGGGCACCTGTGGAGCCCTCCCATGTGGTTGAGCCTGCTATTGTCTCCTAGTATCCTTCACCTCTTTTTCCTTGATTTTGATGGTTAGTAGTCAACCCCCGCCCCCCGCCATTTCTGGCTAGGTACATGGCCACCCAGAATAAAGACTACATTTCCCAATCTCCCTTGCAAACATAGGACCTGTTTCTGGCCAATGTGATAAAAGCACAAGCACCCATTTTGTGAACTCTAGGTACTGTCCTTGAAGAGACACATCCAGTGCAAATATTTAACAACAGATATGCCAGAACACTGGCCAGAGTGCTGGGGGAATGCCATGGAAGGTCCCAACTGAGCCAGGGGATGAGTTGGGGGGATGGGGAGGTGGGCATCAGGGAGTCATCAACTATTACCAGCTGGTGGAGAAGTATTTCGATGATTTTACTACTGAAAAAGCTCTACTGATTTGTACCAGTTAAATCCTACAAACTCTCTTCTTCATGCTACCCGGATTGCAGACATGACGGCAGGAGCTCAAGAATCCATCATGGACCCTGAGGTAGAAGCCTTGTTAAGGATGACAAAGCAACAAGATAAGAGCCTAGGTCCTTGGTGATTACATCTGTTCTCTGTGGTCCACCTCCAAACTTTATTTATGTAAACACACCCAATCTTGTTTAAGCTTTCATCGCCTCAAGTTTCTGTTACATTCTAGATCTTCTCAACAATGCTCAAGCCCCTACCTCATCTTTATCTTTGTGCTCATTTCCTGTCTTACCTCTTCCTTCCATCTCTGAGGAGGAAATGCCTTTTCTTCTCTGTAGGAGGCTAAACGTTAGCTGCTAAACCCTCCTATGCTTTTGTCAATCAGCTCCTGTGACTTCATTCTTGTTCTTCACCCTTGCCTTGGCAATTGTTAAATATTTTTAATGTCATCCTTCGAGCACTTTTCTCCATCAGGTATGCTTTCCTTTTTTCTATCTTTAGTCTCCCGCCTTGCCACTAACTTTTCGTCCTCAGATTACAAGTATACCCAAAGCTCTCCCATCCAAAAGAAATCTTGTCTCGCTCCTGATTTTCACTTCAGCTCTGTGCTTTTTCTCACTTCCCCTCCACTACTCTTTGAAACAGTCGCCTACACTCACCATGTCCCCAACTCTCCCTCCAGACTAACTCTAACCCAGCCCAGCCCTCCACTGAATGGCTTTCTGAAAGCAGATTGTAAATTCCTACTTGGAAGGTCCCCCTTCTCATTTCCTCTGGCCTCTAACACTGTTGGTCTGTTTCTCCTTCCTACATCTCCCCCACTTGGCATCAGTGACATGGCACCAACCCCTCAGGGATGCTGAACATCCAGCCCATGGTCCCCATGCCCACTTTTTTTTTTTAAGATTTTATGTGTTTATTTGAGAGAGAGCGGGAGGAAGAGTGAGCACAAGCAGGGGGAGTGGCAGAGGGAGAGGGAGAGGGAGAAGCAGACTCCCTGCTGAGCGGGGAGCCCGATGTGGGGCTCGATCCCAGGACACTGGGATCATGACCCAGAGCCGAAGGCAGACGCTTAACGACTGAGCCACCCAGGCGTCCCTCTGCCCCACTCTTTCAGGGCGGCCTAAATAAGCCAGGCAGTTTCACAACCCTGTGACCCTTCCTTACCTCAAATTGTTTGCCCTAGTGAACCTTCATTTAATCTTCATAACCCGGTTAAAATGATACTCAAAGAGGGAAGATTCTCCTATGGTTTAGGAGACGATCAAGATTCCCTTCCTCACTGC